GGAGGCCGCTCGCAGGCTGCTCCGGCCGCGCGGGGCACAGCCGCCGTGGGGCTGCAGCCGGTGCTCCGGCCTTCGAGACCCCGCGCCGGGCGGGCGAGGGAGGCACGGGCCGGGGCCCAGGCCCTGCGCCGGGGGCAGCTGCAGCCAGGAGCGCCAAGGCGGAGGAGGGATGCGGCGATGCTGGCGGTCCTGGCGCCTCTGCCCGCTCCTGCGGTGCCAGGGGGCACCCSCAGTCGAGGCCGACTGCCGTTATACAACCCAGCTCCTGCCGTCGCCTCCTTGGGCAGGGCCGCTCCGCGCCCTGACTCACCGCCTGGGTTTACATAAGAGGCGCTGGGAGCCCTGGCCGCCGGCCACCGCGCAGGGACAGCGGCCGCTGCCGCCTGCACATGACTCCCAGCCTCGGCTTTTGTTTCCCCAGAACAAGGAGCTGAAGAGCCGCCTGGCCAGCAGCGAGGGGCTGCCCAGAGCTGCCAGCAGCGTCTCGCAGCTCGAGGCCAGGCTCGAGGAGCTCCAGGACAAGCTGCAAGCGGAGGAGAGGTACCCGAGAGGGCAAAGAGCATGTGGCCCCCGGCCGCCTCGCGGCGCTGGGGAGCCCGCGCCCACCCCTTCCGTGGCCCGAACCCAGGGAGAAGAGCGTCCTGCTCTCCTCAAACCGTAAGCTGGAGCGGAAGGTGAAGGAGCTAACGATCCAGATTGACGACGAGCGGCAACATGTCAATGACCAGAAGGACCAGGTGGGCTCGCGCTCTTCAGGAGCCAGTGCTGGGGGAGGTGGCACCGGTGGCACCTGCGTCTCCCCACAGCTGAGCCTCCGCGTGAAGGCTCTCAAGCGGCAGGTGGACGAGGCCGAGGAGGAGATCGAGCGCCTGGAGGGCATCCGCAAGAAGGCGCAGCGGGAGCTGGAAGAGCAGCACGAGCTCAACGAGCAGCTCCAGAACCGCATCAAGGCTCTGGAGAAGGAGGCCTGGTACGTGGCAGGMTTGGGGCCGCGCGGGGGGCCACACGGGCCCCCGGCTGAGCGCTCGCCCCGGGCTGGCTCCGCAGGCGCAAGGCGGCCCGCGCGGCCCCCGGCTCCTCGCTGCAGGACGAGCAGCTCAGCTCGGACGAGGACTTGGACAGCGCGTACGGGCCCTCGTCCATCGCCTCGCTGCTCACCGAGGCCAACCTGCAGACCAGCTCGTGCTAGCGGCCGCGCCGGCCGGCGCCCCGGGGGCCAGCGCTGCCCCGGCCTCGGCGTTGCTGCTGCAAACGCCCGTCCTGCCTGCGCCTCCTCCMTGCCCCTTTTATTTTTATACGTGATTCCTGGTCCTGCCCCTGCTGCCACCAACCCCGCCCCCCCAGATGCTATTTTAAATAAAAATGAGCATTTTAGTGGCTGCTGCCGCTGCCCAGGGCGGGAGGGCAGAGGGGCTCTACCATGATGGCCACTGGACGGAGCCCGCAGCAGCAGAGAGCCTCCCTSCCCCCTGCTGGATCTGGCCCCAAGACAAATCCTCGTTATCACTAATTAACAAGGACAGGCATAGTGCCAAATGCTAATTAGCACCCGTGCCTTGATTGGCAGCCTGGTGGGAAGTTTTTCCCAGTGTGGTGCCAGGAGGGCCTGGGGCGCTGGGTACCCTCGGGGGGAGGAGGGGCAGCCCTTGTTCCCCCCCGCCCAGGGCCCGGGGGCTCTGCTGAGACCGGCTGAGCTCATCGCACGAGTGCAGCGCCCTGACGGAGGGGCGTGGCTAAGAGGGGGCGGGGACACGGGGGCGGAGCCTGAGGAGGGGGCGTGGCCAGGGAGGGCGTGGCCGCACATAAGGGCGCGCGCGGCGGCGCGGGGCGCGGGCGCCATGAACGGGCTGCAGGGCTGGTGCGCGGTGCTGGACGTGCGGCCGCACGGCGAGAGCCCGGTGAGCGGCGCGGGGGGCGGGCGAGGGGCGCGCGGCCCGGCCCCGCTCCCGGGGAGCCGCTTCCCGCGCGCCCTTCTCGCCGGCGGCCGGGGCGGCTCCGGGGATCCCGGGCGGATCCCGCCGCGCTTCCCCTTCCCCGGCCCTTGGGGTCCCCGCGCCGGGCGGCTCATCCCGCGGCGAGCCCGAGCTCCCGCATCCCTTACGAGGAGGCGTCGGGCACGTCGGGCCGGCGGTTATTAGGGCGATAAGTGCCTGTGCAACGCCAGGCATCTCCCGGCGCCGGGGCTAATGATCCCGGCCGATCCCCTCGGGGGCAGGTCAGGCCTGTTCTGGTCTAACGCCCGCGATGGGCGAAGCGCCGCGGCCGCCCTTGCAAAACGCCGCGGTGTCACCGGCCCGGCCTCGCGTGGGCTCCCGCCCGGGCCTTCCCTGGCCTCTGCCCGCCCGGGGCGCCAGCCGGGCTGCCCACGGCTTCCGCGGAGCACAGCRAGTGTCTCTGCCTGCAACCCGCCTCGTACCTGGGGCATCTGCAAAGTTTTTGCTGTCCTGAGTGGTGTTTTATGGCTTGAAAATGCCTGCTGCACCTGGAGGTCTGTCCTGCCTGCTGGCGGCGTCTTCCYGTCTATCCTCACCTTAAATTTCAAGGGAAATGCCTCTTTTGGGATGGCCGAGACCAAAGACGACTCCTGGCTAAGTGTCCCAGGTGGGAGAGGAGCCGTCGTGCCCAAGCCCCTCCGGCTGTCGCTTTTCCCGCTGTAGCGAGGTGGCGGCCCTTGCAGAGCGCCCGGATCGGGCTGGTCCCCGCGGCCCTGGGAGAAGCTGTAAACAGGCAGCATGGGGCGTGCTGGGGTTCCCRCCGCGCGGCGCGGGGACGAATCCTCCCCAAAACTGCCCACTCGGCGGGCAGAGAGCAGGGAGCTGCTGGGGCAATTGAAGGTGCTTCCAGGCTGCGTTTCCCCTTGCCGGGCGGAATTCCCTGCTTGCAATCCTGCAAGTTTGTCCCCCGGAGAGAAACGGGCCGCTCTTGGTCTCTCCAGCCAGAGCGGCCGCAGCTCCCCACGGCGGAGGCGACTGAAGGAAAAACAAGCTCTGCGCAGGGAGGGATTTGCAGTCAACCTGACCGGATTTGCACCTGCCCTTGCTGCCTTCAAAGCCCCGAAAAATCTGGTTTTCCCCCCCTGCGGCCGAGGGAGGCTTTGCCCCGGCTCCGTCTGGCGGGCGGAAGAGCCGCGCCGGGGAGCACTTGGCTCCCTCCCCGGCGGTGCCAGCCGCGCAGGGAGGAGCCGGCAGGGCCGCGCCGGGCGGATCCGACGGGAGAAGCCCTTTTCCTGTCTCCGTGTGCCCCCGCTCGTCCCGCCGCTCTCGGCTGAGGCGCCGGCTGCTTTGGAAGCCGCGCGGGGGTGACGGGACGCGGGAAGGGGCGATGGCGGCTCTGTGGCCCCGGCGGGGCGCCGCTCCGAGGCGGCATCTCCCGAAGCTGCCCTGGCGCTGAGTCACCGGAGAGCCCGGGCCCTGTTCCCCTGCCCCGAGCAGGAGCGAGGCCGCGGCGGGCGTTGGGAGCCGCGCTGCGGCGCGGGGGCTCCCAACCCGTGTCCCGTGCGCCTTGCGGGACGTGGTGGCGTTGGGGTGGCGCCGGCTCCGGGGAGCCCTGCAGGAGGGCGC